GCGATCTCGGCTCACCGCAACCTCCGCCTCCTGGGTTCAGGCAATTCTCCTGCCTCAGCCTCCTGAGTAGCTGGGATTACAGGCACGTGCCACCATGCCCAGCTAATTTTTTGTATTTTTAGTAGAGACGGGGTTTCACCATGTTGACCAGGATGGTCTCGATCTCTTGACCTCATGATCCACCCGCCTCGGCCTCCCAAAGTGCTGGGATTACAGGCTTGAGCCACCGCGCCCGGCCCAATTCCAGTATTTTGGGAGGCCAAGGCGGGTAGATCACTTAATGTCAGGAGATCCAGACCAGCCTGACCAAATGGTGAAACCCCCTCTCTACTAAAAAAATACAAAATTAGCTGGGCGTGGTGGTGCACGCCTATAGTCCTAGCTACTTGGGAGGCTGAGGCAGGAGAATTGCTTGAACCCGGGAGGCGGAGGTTGCAGTGAGCTGAGATCATGCCATTGCACTTCAGCCTGGGCAACAAGAGTGAAATTCTGTCTCAAAAAAAAAATTAGCCAGGCATGATGGCACATGCCTGTAATCCCAGCTACTTGAGAGGCTGAGGAAGGAGAATCGCTTGAACCTGGGAGGCAGAGGTTGCAGTGAGCCAAGATTGCGCCACTGCACTCCAGCCTGGGCAGCAGAGTGAAACCTCGTCTCAGAAAAAAAAAAATTAATACCTCTAGTGGACGCTTGTAGAGCCCCTCTCTCTGTGCCAGAAGGTGCTTGGAGCATTGGGCGGACCTAGAAGACGGCCTATCCACTGTGTGCAACCCGAATAGCCTGCCACCCCAGCTGGCCCTGGGCGGTGCCCCCAACCACGGCCCCTCCCAGGCCCTGCTCCCAAGTGTCTCCAACATTTAACAGAACAACAGGTTGGAGTCTTCCAGTTGGTGTTGTCAGGATGCAGGCAGTTTCCAATTTATTCTTTGCTTTGGAACATCGATACATTTTACAGCTAAATCTGGTTTCCATCTCCTCTGTAGCAACAAGTATCTCCAAACAAAAAATTAGAACCAACACATATTTTTGCTATCTTTGGATATTTTCCTAGACCTCTAAATGTTCCAAGCTTTTCAAGGCTGCAGACAGAATTGTGCTGTTTAGAATTCTGTGATCAATGAGTTTTTTTGTGTGTGACTAATGATACCTCATATGTGAAAAATTAGCATTGCCACAGTGATGACAGTGAACAGAGCGCAGTCCCACCCGAAAAGCCCCTGGCGTCAGCCTTCCGCTCCTAGGGGGGTGAAGCCACTGCCTTGGCTTCTGGTAGGGAAGTCCAGCTCTGGCCCAGGGCCTCTGTGGGTTGAGGGTGCCCTGTCATCACAAGCTGTCACCTCGTGGTTGTGGTGAAAGGCTCAGGTTGCCATCAGGGGAAGGAGTGAGAACCAAGCCTGGCACTGTTTCATTTCCAGCAGGGAATCCAAGAGTTCTTACTGATTTAATGTAAAACCAGAGAGGAGAAAGCACATCCAGGCAACGTTCCGGAAGAGAGGAACAGGCCAGGAACAGAGCCCCACCCTCAACCAGCAGGCCTGGTGGGGCTCGTCTGGAACAGAGAATAGAAACCACGATCACATAGGCTGGGTGCAGTGGCTCACGCCTGCAATCCCAGCACTTTGGGAGGCCAAGACGGGCAGATCATGAGGTCAGGTGTTTGAGACCAGCCTGGCCAACATAGTGAAACCTTGTCTGCTAAAAATACAAAAAATTAGCTGGCCATGGTGGTGGGCCCCTGCAATCCCAGCTACTTGGGAAACTGAGGCAAGAGAATTGCTTGAGCCTGGGAGGCCGAGGTTGCAGTGAGCTGAGATTGGGCCACTGTTCTTCAGCCTGGGTGACAGAACGAGACTCTGTCTCTAAACAAATAAAGTATAAGGAGACTGAATGCAGCTCTCTTCATCCTCTCTTGATGTTGGAGACAGAAGCCTCTTCCAGGGTCAGAGCTTGCTGACAGCACCAGAGTCCACCCTGGAGGAGGGACCAGAGCAAGCACAACACGGGAACTCCCCTTGGAACAGACCCATTCCCAGCCCCGGGTCCTCATCCACACGTCCTGCTCCGTGGGAAGGCAGGACTGTGTGACCTCTGAAGTGCTTTCTATGAAAACCCCCAGTGAACATTGTGCGAGGCCCGGGGCAGTGAGGGCCTGACTTGAAACTTGCTTCCATTAGAGGCAGAGCGGGTTCCTGGGCCTGACAACTGGAGGGGGTCGTGCATCTGGCGCTCTGCCCCCATGACACGGCCTGCTTAATGTCCAGGGGTCCCACGTGAAGGGATATGCGAGCTCACCGGAGACCTCGGCCCTGCCAGATCTGTCTTCTTATGTAAACACCTGCTTTTAATACTAAACAGCATCACTGGCCAATAACAGCCAATGCTGCTCAGCGTGCCTGGCAGGAGCACTGGGGGGGATGGAATTTGTAGTGTGGCCGAGAGACAAAGCATTAGGCAACCCGAGAAGGAAAAGGTGCAGTCGGGATTCGTCTCCATCTCTAGTTTATGGGTCCTGGATCCCCATGAGGCCAGCGCTCTAGAGTAGGAGGGGCTGGGAGGTCTGTGGGCAGGACAAAGGGACACCTTCCAGGAGGACGAGGGCCTTCCCCTGCCTGTCCCCCTCACCACGCCTGCAGGCAATAGTACCAGGCAGGCCTGAGACTGCCGCACAGCCAGGCCTGGAGCCGGGTTCTTGGAGCTGGAGGAGAGCAGCTGTCAGTGCAGAGATGAGACAAGGGAGGTGCAGAATCTTGGCCTATGGCCCTAGGAGGGTGAGGACACGGATGAAGGCCCCCCCCAGCTCCCAAACCTGTGGTCCCTCAGCCCCCAGGGACACTGACCTGATCAAAACCCAGGACCTCAACCTAAGACCAAATCTGTACTTTATATATTTTTCTTTACAAACTTTTTTTGGTAGGTATGAAGGTCTTGCCATGTTGGTCAGGCTGGTCTCGAAATTCTGGCTTCAAGTGATCTGCCTGCCTCAGCCTCCCAAAGTTCTGGGATCATAGGTGTGAGCCACTGTGTCTAGCCTATCTGTCCTATATTTTCAGAGGGAGGGAGGGGGTGAAGGTAGTCCTAAATTTATATGGCCTAGATGATGAAACTTTCAATTAAAAAAAAAAAATCTTCCTGATGCTCTCAGACCCAAAACAAACCCCAGGGCCTCAGAGCCCCGCTGCGAGCATCTAGAGGTTGCTCGCCACCACTCAGTTCTAACAAGAAGTCTGATTTGGGTCTCACCATCCTCTGCACTCCTAACCCTCCTTCCCTGCAACTTACTAGGAAAAACTTAAAGGGGCACAGCCAAGCCCACAGTGGCATTCTGAAACTACCTTTACAAAAATGCGAACAGTGAGATTATTACAGTGAAAAATATCTGACCTAACCCACTCCATCTTGCTTCTTGCTTCCAAGCTGTCCTTGTTCATTCCTGGGAATAAGCCGAACTAACTTTGGGAGAAGCGTATAGTTTAACTGTTTAACTTTGAAAGAAAGATGGTAACAGCACTTTCCAGAAATAAACCCCCTTCTCACCTGGGGACAAGACTGACTCTGTAGGACTAACGTATCAGCCACAAGATTGGAAATGATGGCTTAGGAGTCATGCAGCCAGAGGCCACAAGGTTCTGAACCTTCCCAATTGCTCCTAGGGATGACATCAATGTTGTAAAACCTGAGAATGGTGCTTGAGATATTTTTCAGACCCTGCACTCTGTGGATCAGCTGACACCCACCACCTATCCAAACTGGCTCATCTGGTCTTGTGGCCCACACCCGGGAAACCGACTCAGCACAAGACAGCTTCGACTCCCTATGACTTCATCTCCAACTCCTGATCTCTAATCAGGACTCCCCACTTCCTGACCCCCTACCCACCAAATTATCCTTAAAATTCCCAGTCTCTGAATTTTCAGGGAGACCCGCTTGAGTAGATAAACTCCAGTCTCCCGTTTAGCCAGCTCTGTGTGAATTAGACTCTCTCTATTGTAATTCTTCTGTCTCAATGAATCGGCTCCATCTGGGCAGCGGGCAAGGAAAATCCTTGAGGGGTTATAGTGCCATCCTGAGACAATGCTCTCGGATTTTTTTTTTTTTTTTTAATGAGAGGTTCTTATGTTGCCGAGGTTGGCCTGGAACACGTGGCCTTACCTCAAGCGCCAGGACAACTGGCCTGAAAAATCTGGCGGCTCCTGCTCTCAGATTTTTAGCCAGTCAGCCTTTTCAAGCCACCAGGTCTGCTCAAAACTGAAAACATCTAAGGAACATTTCTCATGGCAGATTTTCTTTCCTATGGGACAGGTGAGTTTTGATTTCCAAAGGGCGTCATAAGTGTCAGGTGCATGTTGAAATCACTTTGATTCCTTGCTTTCTCTCTTATATTGTTTTTGTGACTTCTATTATTGATGTTCTAATAGAAGTGAAAAAGGATGACTAAGAAAAAAAGGGGCCAAAAGAACGGGATTCAAATGTAATGGCATCTAAAAATCACAGATCGGGAGCTCCTTAAAAATAGTGCCTCTAACATCTGTGTCTGGCATTGGCCACACCTTGTTGCCAGGAAGTCAGGTCACACTTTACCCCAGCAGCTTCACACAACCAGGCTCCCAGGGAGACCGGGGACTGACGTGAGGGAGGGCACATAAGAAATGGGCACAGTCTCCGTCATCTTTGCCTTTTAATATAAGATTTGGTTTCATCATTTCTGAATGTAACACATTTCTTCTAAAAATAGAGCTCTCTGCTTATTCTGAAACTTCTTAGCGTTCACTGGGAAGTGAAGGGGAATAAGGCTGACCATAATTCTGGGGTGACGTTGCCAGTTTCATAGTCATAGAAGAAATTTCAAGGGATCCTGGATGCTCACAGCAAGGATGAGTTCATTTCAAATCCATGGTACTGAAGAAGCACAACAAAGCGTTTCAAGGCCCCAGCTGTGCCTGGTGTGGACTCCTGAACGCATTACCGACCAAACAGGGCAGCAGACAGCAGCAGCCCCTCTCCCAGGAGGTACAGGAGACAGGGTGACCCTGCACACATCTACCAGAAGACGACAGGGTGCTCTCCTAACACACTGGTTAAGAATGTAAGTGTACAAACACAAGATGTAGGAATGCAGGGCTGAAGGTGTAAACTCCTGCCCCAGGCCAAGGCAGACCTGGATTTAATATCATGGAACTTGCTGGGATTTTCTCACAATACAGACGAAGAGTCAGAATCTCCCCCGCCCCAGAGGAAGAGCCTGGTTAGCTCCTGAACCCAAAGATGCCCTTGATGTATCCAGTGAGGCCACTCTTGGTCTTCTGTTCCAACTTGTCCTCAAGGGGTGGGAAAGCCACATGGTTGAGGGCCAGGTCAAAAAACAAAGGCTTGCAGGGGATGGGCTGGAAGCCTGGTGGGAAGTGCACAAGGTTGGCTTGCTTGGTGACCAGGGAAGGGTCCAAGCAGAATGTCTCAAACCGTTCAACCAGAGGCTGGAAGTCAAATCAAAGAGACGTATGTAAGCATCACAGGACATGCTTGGTGAGTGCCGACTGCCTGGTTTAGAGCTTTACAGGGGCCATCCAGTTAATCGCTCAATTCTGACAGCCTCCTACGAGGAGGGGTTACCATGTCCCTTGTAGTCAGTGTCACTGAAACCTAGAGAGGCTGAGAGAGGGGCAGGCTAGGCTTGGGGTACAGGTCTGTTGGCCATGTTACGAGACGGAGCTCTTACCTACAGGTGCTACTCCGTACAGCAACAGGTTCCTTGTCCTTCTTATCGGGGATGATCTGACATCTAGCAAACTTTATGCAGGAGGCTTTCAGGTTGGGCAAGAGGAGGGAGGGAGGTGGGGGGGTTTCCTTAGAAATTAAGGGTCCACTGCTCTACAGTGAGCATGCCTTCCTAGTCTGCTCCTAATCCTGCTCTGTATTCCTCAAAAGCCATGGCCCAGACTTACCTTATTGTCCTTGACTTGGAAGGAGGTCTCTGTTTGATGAGAATCATCTGCATCTGAAAGTTGCACAGGGATTCAGTAAGAACAAGGACTTATAACAGCATACTAGTCACAAATGAGGCCTGTCACACACGTGGCCCCTACATCCTAAAAGCAAAAGGAGCCAGCATGTGGGGAAGTCAGTCCTGTCTCCTGCTGAGAAGGGGTGCAGATAAACAGATCAATCCCAGATCCAACGCTGCCGGCCCAGTGAAGCCAGCACAGTGGCATGAGGACAGTAACAGGAAGAAGGGCCAGGGGAACAGCGCACCTCAAAATGCTTCTACACGATCCAGTGCCCAACTGGCACAAGTGGGGGCCAGGAAAAAGAAACATCTTACAGATGAACCAAGACAACCCTTTCAAATCTTTTTTTTTTTTTTTTTTTGAGACGGAGTTTCGCTCTTGTTGCCCAGGCTGGAGTGCAATGGCGCGATCTCGGCTCACCGCAAGCTCCGCCTCCCGGGTTCAGGCAATTCTCCTGCCTCAGCCTCCTGAGTAGCTGAGATTACAGGCACGCACCACCATGCCCAGCTAATTTTTTGTATTTTTAGTAGAGACGGTGTTTCACCATGTTGACCAGGATAGTCTCGATCTCTTGACCTCGTGATCCACCGCGCCCGGCAACACTTTCAAATCTTAAGACAGTAGTGGTGGTGTGGGAGAGAAGGCGAGTGGCAGGAGGGGGGTTTGCGGATAGAGAGGACGGGCAGGGGCTCACCAAGCTCACCAAGGATGGCCGCGGCCTGCAGCGAGCACTTCTCTGACCGCACTTGAGTGATGAGCTCTTGCACGTCAGGCAGGTCCTGCAACGATTGAGAAAACGTGTACTCTGGAGCCAGGGTCAGCTCAGAGAGGAACACGCAGCTAACCTGAGCTACGCGATCCCACTGCATTTTCACAGGACATTAGACTTTTGAAATGGGAAAAGCTATGCCAAGGCTTAAGTAATACTGCCTGGAAACGACGATGTTGATAACATGAATAAAGTCATCACGTACTAAACAATGTGCCAGGCATTGTTCTACGCAGTTTACATCATCACTAGCTTAACGCTCTCAATAATCCTGAGGCAGTTTGCACTCCCATTTTACAGATGAGAAAACAGAAGCATGGAGAGGTCAGGCAATGTGCCGGCCATGCTCCCATGTGGTAGCAAGCTGGGACTCAGGGCTGGGCCCTCTGCCACAGGAGCATAAGCCCTCAGTCGGTTCACTCCACGGCTTCAACGCGGGTGAATTTTCCTGGCCTAGGTCTCTTGCTTGCCACACTGGGAATGATCTGAGACGGTCAGGACACCACAGAACCCATCATGCCTCCATTCTCTGACACTTCCCCCCAAACCACTCTGCAGGAGATCAGGTCCACACTGGTTTGCACTGCATCCCAAGATGATACTCCACAGTGGTGACGCTGCCATGCCCGTCACCCCCACCTGCTCCACATCCCTCTGCTCTTTCCTAGCTCTGCCTGTTTGGGGCCTCTCTACTTCTTTTCCATCTACAGGTGGGCTCCTGCATGCCAGGCTGTGGCTACAACAAAACTACACGCTCTCTGAAGGCAGAAACCGGGTCTCTTCTCTGCCCCTCTGATCCCGTGAGCTTGCACGGGATCCAGCAGCAGCAGCTTCTACGCTGGTGTGACTCCAACAACGGGAACCTTTGCTTCCTTTTCTTTTTTTTTTTTTTGAGACGGAGTTTTGCTCTTGTTACCCAGGCTGGAGTGCAATGGCGCGATCTCAGCTCACCGCAACCTCCGCCTCCCGGGTTCAGGCAATTCTCCTGCCCCAGCCTCCTGAGTAGCTGGGATTACAGGCATGCACCACCATGCCCAGCTAATTTTTTGTATTTTTAGTAGAGACGGGGTTTCACCATGTTGACCAGGATGGTCTCGATCTCTTGACCTCGTGATCCACCCGCCTCGGCCTCCCAAAGTGCTGGGATTACAGGCGTGAGCCACCGCGCCCGGCCTACTTCCTTTTCTAAATGGTCTCTACTCATCAAATATAGATGGGTTCCTTGGACCAGCCGATGTTGCAGTAAGTTCTATATCGTCACAGCAGGTCACAAGCTTAAGAAGCTAGTTGTCATTCAATAATCAGTAAAGCTCCGGGCGTGGGAGATGGGAGACAGAGTGAGACTCTGTCTGGGGGGGTGGGGGGAAGCAAAGCAAGCCTTCCATGGCTGCACTTTATTTAGTTTGAAATGCAGTCTTGCTCTTTTTTTTGTTTTGAGACGAGTCTCGCTCTGTCACCCAGGCTGGAGTGCAGTGGCATGATCGTGGCTCAGTGTAACCTCTGCCTCCCAGTTCAAGCGATTCTCTTGCCTCAGCCTCCTGAGTAGCTGGGATTACAGGCGGGTGATACTACACCTGGCTGATTTTTGTATTTTTAGTAGAGACTGGGTTTCACCACGTTGGTCAGGCTGGTATCGGACACCTGACCTAAGGTGATTCACCCGCCTTGGCTTCCCAAAGTGCTGGGATTACAGGGGTGAGCCCCCACGCTCAGCCTTTTGTTTTTTTGTATCAGAAAAATGCCTTCCCTTCTTCATACCTAAATCCTCCTCAGGCCTGGAGCACAGCCATGAGTGACACAGCCTGCAGTTCCTGGGCAGTCAGGGACACACAAGGTCCCATGGGCAGCCAGAGAGGACCAGCCTGAGGTGGAGCCCAGCTGTTGTACCCTCGCAGCTCCCACAGCCGGACTCCATAACCTGCCAGACTTGCAATGAGGAGAGGCCAACGTCTCACCTTTAGGCTGTTTTTGAAGGCGCCAGCATCAGAATTTACTTCATTTGCATATTTCAGGACTCTATCATACAGGACAAGAGCTTCGCTCCACTTCTTCACCAGCACATAGGATTGAGCAATGAAAAAACACCTGATGGGGAGGGGAAAAGAGCCACAATATTCTAAAGCAGCAATTACCCAAGACCAAGACCTTCCTTGCAGTTTAGGAAACAAGCTTCTTAACTTAGGATCACTTCATGGGAGCCCCCTTCGTGGGAAATGTTCAGATTTGTAGGCTGCCCTGCAGAGATGCTTCCCAGCAATCAGAGATGCCCAGGTGTGCCCAACACTGAGCCATGGGTTTTTACTGACTGGCTGACTCTGCAGAGGACGAACAGTTCCCAAAAGGAGCATGGTGAAGTCAGGGACAGGAAGGAAGAACGCTGCCCGGCTCAAACAGAAATCCCACCCCCACATCCACACACCCAAGTTGTAATCATTCATCTCTGCTCATCGCGTTCCCAAAAACAAAAGCCACAGAGGGTTCTTCCTGAGTGAAATTCCTCTCCTGGGCTCAGCAGAGGCTGAGCGATGCTGGTCCCTGACAGAAGGGGCCATGGAGTGAAGATGGGGCACGCTGGAGTGCCGGAGCACACTGGCGTGTGAGGGCCAGAAGAGGAACGGCAAGAATGCAGGGCTCTGCCTTCCCTCCTGGCTGCGCCCCATCTTGCTGCCCAGCCCACTTCCAAGTTACAAGTGACACAAGTCATTTAAGAAACTGAGTTTAGCTTTATCCCGAGTTAGTTCAAGTTCCTTGAACTGGCCACCCTGGTTCTGCTAATTAACACCCCTTCAAGGCTTGCCCCTTTCCCCCTGAGAGGGAGGAGGTAAGTGAAGGAAGCCAAGTTTAACGTGTGCACTCCACTCCCTCTGACCTGGCCAAAGAGCAGACAAGATCACTGGCCGCTACTGGCCACAGCCTTTAGAAATTCCCCTTGCACATGCCGGGCTGATCTTCCTCTGATCACAGGCAGGGTAACCATACAATCAAGGCCAACGATCCCATCCGCTGTGGGCCAGGTCACGTTCCCAATGCTTATAGAACCTGGGAGGCAGAGGAAGCCGCTGCCCATCCCATGGGACGGACGTTACCTGTAAGCTTTAAATACCAGGGTCTTGAGGCCTATCTCTTTCTGGAAGGCTTTGTCCTCCTCTAAACCAGGAAGCTGGAGCAATTCCACCAGATTCTGTACAACAGATGCAACAGGAAAATTCATGAAGAGATCTCAGATTGAATTTTTGACAGAAGACCTTGTAAGAACAGATAAGGGTGAGGAAGAAAAAGCCCGAGCTCAATACAATGGGGAAAATCCTGTGAAGTGACCTGGCAATAGCCACACCTGGTGTCGCCTTCACTCCTCTCTCTGACCTTGGAAACATATTTGTCCTTTACAACACAACTCATAGCTAACCCACCTTCAGAGACTTCTTGGCCCATCTCAGCTGGAAGGGATCTGTTCCAGCACTGAGCTTTTATTGAGCAACTACTCAGATGCCTTGACTCGTGTGTGTGTGTGTGTGTGTGTGTGTGTGTGTGTGTGTGTGTGTGTGTGTGTGTGTGTGTGTGTGTGTGTGTGTCTCTCTCTCTCTCTCTCTCTCTCTCTCTCTCTCTCTCCCCCCTCCCCCCCTCTCTCTCTCTCTCTCTGTCCTACTAACAAACTCCCTGGCGGCCGAGATGGCATGGACTCAGGTATCAGATGCTCTACAGCACCGGGGAGCATCTTACACAGGTGAAGTGCTCAGTGATGACCTGGGGTCACTAGTCTCTACACACCAACATGTCTGAGAGGTAGGGGCTCACAGACTGCAGAACTGGTGTAAGACCTTTGTCTTTTGCCCAGCTACTAATAGGTCCTGCTTGTCACAGCCCTTCCGTAATGCAAAGTTAAGTCATTTTGTGTCTGACAGAGGAAAAGGAAAAAGGTCCTTCCCTTCCCGGTCCTCAAGGGTCACCTGTAGGATGATGTCGTAGAGCCGGATCAGGTCCTGGGGTCGCGGGGAGCGCTTGCTGTCATCCTCTGGCTGCTGCTGCAGCAGAGCCCTCTGCAGACCTTTGGCCATGTTCTCATTACGCTTGATTGCCGTTGACAGCTTGATATAAGTCAGGTAGCTGGAATGCACCCCAAGTCAGCTCAAGTTATGCTCAGAGAAGCGGAGGAACTGGGAGGAGGACTGGACGACGAGTTGGGGCTGACCCAGAGGAAGTGGGGGTGGGGTGGGCGGCCACAGCAGGGCCATTTGGCCTGGGCTTCAAGGGAACCTGAATTTGGCTACATCAAGTGGCAAGTTTGCAGGGGACCTGTATGGGACCTTATCATGATTTTTTGCTTGATTTATACCTTCTGCATCTTTTTTCAAGAACCACACAGTGGAGGAAAACAAAAAAACACACACAGAGTGGGATCCCAGCAGGAGGATCACTTGAGCCTAGCATTCAAGGCGGCAGTGAGTTATGGTCATACCACTGCACTCCAGTCTGAGTAACAGCAAAACCTTGACTCTAAACATTAAAAAAAAATAAAACTGGCTGGGCATGGTGGCTCAGGCTTGTGGTCCCAGCTACTCAGGAGGCTGAGGTGGGAAGATCACCTGAGCCTGGGAGGTGGAGATTATGGTGAGCCGAGATTGTGCCACTGCATGCCAGCCTGGGTGACAGAGTAAGACCTTGCCATCCAGTTTCTGAAGCGAGGATTAGTGCCCTGACCAGCTCACACTACGAGGACAATATCCTTCCACTGCAGCTGTTCCCACTCATCTGAGGGTCTTCTCTGCTCCGAAAACACTAGGTACAGTCGCTTGGGTGGTTATGCATACTAACCATGTGTATAAACGGAAGGGACTATTTTAACTGTACCACCTGGCAAGTCCTTTTATTATTTAGGGCTAAAACCATGTTCACTGTCGAAAATCTGTTTAAGCAGCACTTCTGTGTCTACAGCCCCAGCCCACTCTGGCAGACCAGAGGCCAGAGCTTAGAGAGGATACAAAAGATGCTGGGGACAGGGGACACAGGCGCAGCTGAGGTCAGGGGCTCCACAATGAGCACAGGATCCAGGGACTGTCAAGTTCTGAGCACTGACCGCTGGTCTCTTCTCTACTCTGCTTCCAGAACAAGAGCAGCCTTGTATATCCCGGAGATCTGAACAGCACAATGGAAACCCTTCAAGATTCTGGGGTTGGAGTCCTTGGTGGAAAGGCAGAGCCAGAAACCAAGAGGAGCTTCATGCATGTATGCAGAGCTTGCATCTGACAAGCCACATCCTTCAACAGGAGTGGATGACCAAGAATCACTAGACATTTAATCAAGGAAAGCCTCTACTAAGAAGGAAGAGGCCAGAATCAAGACGGAAGTTCTTCTACGGGGAGAACTTCAAAAAATGATTAACAACCCCAGAAAGATAAGGGAAGGCTGTGCAGTTGTGAAATTAGAATGAGACACTAGGTAACATTTAGCTGGGAGCGGTGGCTCATGCCTGTAATTCCAAGTCTTTGGGAGGCTGAGGGGGGCAGATTACTTGGGGTCAGGAGTTCAAGACCAGCCTGGCCAACATGGCAAAACCCCATCTCTACTAAAAAAAAAAAAAAAAAAAAATTAGCCAGGTGTGCTGGCATGTGCCTGTAATCCCAGCTACTAGGGAGGCTGAGGCAGGAGAAGCACTTGAATCCAGGAGGCAGAGGTTGCAGTGCACCCAGATCACGCCACTGCACTCTAGCCTGGGTAACAAAACAAGATTCCGTTTCAAAAAAAAAAAAAAAAAAGCCAGGCGCAGTGGCTCATGCCTATAAACCCAGCATTCTGCATTTTGGGAGGCTGAGGCAGCTGGATACCTCAGCTCAAGAGTTCGAGATCAGCCTGGCCATCATTGTGAAACCCTGTCTCTACTAAAAATACAAAAATTAGCTGGGCATGGTGGCGGTGCCTGTAATTCCAGCTACATGGGAGGCTGAGACAGGAGAATCGCTTGAACCCAGGAAGCAGAGGTTGTAGTGAGCTGAGATAGCACCATTGCACTCCAGCCTGGGTGACAAGAGTGAAACTCCGTCTCAAAAAAGAGAAGCAAAACCAAACATTCAGAGAACACAAAGGAGCTCTTCGATGGTGTCAGCAATGAGAAAGCCTGTGTGAGGTTAGGTGGGAGTCAAGAAGGGTCAAGGCAGGGAGAAGCAGAGTGGAAGAGTGAGACACAGTTAACCGTGGAGAGGTACAAAATGATGAAATCCCAAATCTGCATGTTATTTAGAGATACTGAGGTAAATCCCATAGACATGTGTTAAAAGAATTAAAAGTGGATGCTTCTGAGAAACAGGAGAGAAGGTCATGAGATGGATTTTCCTAAAAAGCTCTGCAGAAATCAGACTCAAAACAAAAACAAATTATCATTAAATGATATGGGTATTTAGATACAGCTTTCCAAAGTTTTACTGAAATACAAAAGCTGGGCCAGGCATGGGGCTCATGCCTGAAATTCCAGCACTTTGGGAGGCCAAGGCAGGCAGACTGCTTGAGTCCAGGAGTTCAAGACCAGCCTGAACATGCCAAAACCTGTCTCTACAAAAAATACAAAAAATTAGTGCACGGTGGCACACATAGTCCCAGCCACTTGGGAGGTTGAGGTGGGAGGACTGCTTGAGCCCAGAAGGTCGAGGCTGCAGTGAGCTGTGATTGTACCACCACACTACAGCCTGGGCAACAGAGCAAGAGCCTGTGTGGGAGGGAAAAAGAAAAAAAAAAAAAAAGGAAGCCTGATTCATCAATTTACCCCAAAGCTGGCCTCTGCCCTTAACTGAAATCCATGGTATGATACCAGCTGTATCTTAGGGTGGGTCAATGAATCCATGGGCCAGGGGGCTTCAAAATTTCAAAAGTTTCCTAAGCCTCGTTGAATGTTTCAAAGGGTCTTTTCAAGGTGAGGAAGGTAGATTAACTCCTGATTCTTTGTGGCTGTTAACTACAAACATATCACTTAACCTTCTAGAACCTCGCCTTTCTCATCGGGTTGTTGAAACAGACATCATCTAAGGGCCCTTCTTGCTGAGTCCTCTGGTGGAACATTTTACATAAATTTGACATTCGCATAAAACTCCTAAGGTAGGCCGGGCGCGGTGGCTCATGCCTGTAATCCCAGCACTTTGGGAGGCTGAGGCGGGTGGATCATGAGGTCAAGAGATCGAGACCATCCTGGTCAGCATGGTGAAACCCCGTCTCTACTAAAACTACAAAAAATTAGCTGGACGTGGTGGTGCGTGCCTGTAATCCCAGCTACTCAGGAGGCTAAGGCAGGAGAATTGCCTGAACCCAGGAGGCGGAGGTTGCAGTGAGCCGAGATCGCGCCATTGCACGCCAGCCTGGGTAACAAGAGTGAAACTCCGTCTCAAAAAAAAAAAAAAAAAAAAAAAAAAAAAAAAAAAAAAAAAAAAAAAACTCCTAAGGTAAAGTTTAAGGGTAAAGAAGGGAGTGGTTTTGCTTTTATAGGAATATGGAGAGGGGTAGGGGAATGGCTAAGGATATTGTCAGGTTCACCATATAAATTACAAGCAGTCACTAAGAAATCAAAATTTCAAGGTCAGATGGAAAAGAGAATCTGATGGGAAGTGGAGTTTTCCTAACAATCTTACTTCTCCCTCTACATTTCAAAAAAAGTCACTCCTCTTCTGTAAAACAAAATGACTCATCTTTTTAAAAAATGAACCTTGACAAGGTGATTCTACTTCATTCATTTCTGAGACAGGGTCTCAGTGCGTTGTTCAGGCTGGAGTGCAGTAGCATGATCAGGGCTCACAGCCTAGATCTTGTGGGCTCAAGCAATTCTCCTGCCTAAGCCTCCCCCGTAGCTGGGACTTATGGGCATGCATCACCATGTCTAGCTAATTAAAACAATTTTTTTTTGCAAAGATGGGTTTCCCCCAGGCTGGTCTTGAATACCTGAACTCAAGTGATCCACCTGCCTTGGCTGCCTGAAGTGCTGGGACGAGGTGACTTTATGTATATGAAGTGACTTCATGTATATGAAGGAGGAAGGGACAAGAATTGTCAAGATACCCCCGAGGACAAACCTGGCAAGGAGAACTTGCTCTATCAGGTGTCAAGACTGACGCAAAGTTATATAATGCACTGTGATGGTCCAAGTACAGACAAATAAATCAATGGAGCAGAAGAGTCCAGAGAAAGAGCACACATGGAAAAAGTGGGACCCATGCCTGGCAGAGCTATGCTGCAGGTCTGCAGGGAAAGGATGCAATGATCAATAAATCATCCCAGAATAACCTATTATCTTTACGGAAAAAAGAGAAGCAGACCCTTACCTCCCACAAAAATAAACTCCAGATGGAGTTAAACTTGAGCTGAAATTAAACTTCAATGTGAAATGGACAATTTTAACACATTCAAAACACAGAGACTCCGTCTAAAAAAAAAAAAAAAAAAAGAAAGAAATTTTAAATGTAGGCCAGGTGCAGTGGTTTCTGCCTGTAATCCCAGAACTTTGGGAGGCTGAGATGGGCAGACTGCTCGAGTCCAGGAGTTCAAGACCAGCCTGGGCAACATGGCAAAACCCTATCACTACAAAAAAAAAATTTAGCTGGGTGTAGTGGTGCATGCCTATAGTCCCAGCTACTTGGGGGAGGCTGAGGTGAGAGGATTGATTGAGCTGGGACGTTAAGGCTCCAGTGAGCCAAGATCATACCACTGTACTCCAGCCTGGGCAAGAGCGAGACTCTATCTCAAAAAAGAAAAAAAAAAAAAAAAAAAAAAAAAGAAAAGAAATTATAAAAATAATGTATAATCTTTTGTTCAAATGATCTTTTAACAATACTAAAAAGTAGAAAAATTAAAATAACTCTTACCTGTGCAAGTACTGAAGATTAGACACCTTCCCCGACTCTCCATCAAGGATGTAATCTCTCTGTTTCTGCAGAAAGTGAAAAAGGTAAAAAGTAAAGCAACTGATGCTCTCTATTGCTCTGACCAGCTCACGCAATGGTGGGGTCTCTGAAGTGCCCTGAACACAGACACAGACTCCTCAAATAAGACAGGAGTCCTCAAATATCAAAGCTTTACTACTTGACATAATCTAGAATGACAGTGGCACTCAAGTTGTCACTGGCATCTAAAAACTGACCTCAAATGAGAGAACTGAGGGTAAAGGACAGATGAGACTTCCTGTCCACTCCTCCCAAAGCACTGAAATCACACTCTACAGTCCATGGCTCTGGGTGAAGGTGGAGGCCATAGATCCCAGTTCCACCCTTATGCCGGCAGAGCCTGCCTTTTGTGGCTGGCTTAATAATGTATCCCCAGAACTGTCTGCATCCTAGCCTCTGGAATCTGTGAAGATGTTATGATATACGGTGAGAGAGAGACTCTGCAGGTGTGATTAAGTTCAGGATCTCTGAATTATCTGGGTAGGCCTAAGGTAATCCCAGAGTCCTGAGAAGAGGGAGGCACATGGAGAAGAGATGGAGAAGATGTAGGAATGGAAGCAGAGGGGAGAGGAGCTGATGGCTCTGAAGCACAAGCCGAGGACAACAAGCCAAGAACTACAGGCAGCTGCTAGGAGCCAGGAGATGCATTCTTGGGAATACTGTACTGGGAAAAGATTCCCTCAGGGCTTCTAAAGGAACACAGCCCTGTGAACCCATGAGATTCTGACCTCCAGAAGTATAAGATAATGCATTTGTATCATCTTAAACTATTAAGTCTGTGGTAATATGATAGCAGCAATAGGAAATGAATGTGCCTTGCAGCACCACATTCCTTACATTCTGTGACGTGTCTCCCAACTGTCATGCATTCAAGGTCAGTGACAGTGACAGGGGCTGGAGCCCTGTAAGTACCTCTGTTAAGTCGATGAAGGAAAGAACAATACATAAAGGCGGCCTAAAGGGGCAAGGAAACAGGAGATTCCTTAGAGAAAGCAGTGAATGAAAAAAAAAAGTTCCTACTCGAAGCTCTGTGGCAGACGCTGAAAAAAATAGTTGCAAAGCAACACCTGAAGTTATTGTTGTTTAATGGGTACGGAGTTTCAGTTCTACAAAATGAAGAGAGTTCTGGAGATGGACCGGTGGTGACGGTTGTGCATGATAAAACTAATTACTACTGAACCGTACACTTAAAAAGGGTTAAGGTGGTATGTTTTGTGTTTTATGTTTTTTACCACAATAAAATAAATTTTTATGAAGAGCCAATACTTAATTAACTATCAAAACTTATAGCTGGCTGGGCGTGGTGGCTCATGCCTGTAATCCCAGCACTTTGGGAGACCAAGGTGGGCGGATTATGAGGTCAGGAGTTTGAGACCTGTCTGACCAACATGGAGAAACCCCATCTCTACTAAAAATACAGAATTAGCCGAGCGTGGTGGCACATGCCTGTAATCCCAGCTACTCGGAAGGCTGAGGCAGAAGAATCACTTGAACCTGGGAGGCAGAGGTTGTGGTGAGCCGAGATCGCACCATTACACTCCAGCCTGGAGAACAAGAGTGAAACTTCATCTCCAAAAACAAAAAAAACCTTACAGCTGCAAGTTTCCAGTATTTAGAAACTGCAGAGGTCTCTGTGGGCTAGGATGGTGCAGCCATGCCTTTCAGAGATAGTATGCTATGAGGTGGACCTTGAAAAACAGGTGAGGTTTGGACAGGTGAAGAAGGGCAGGAAAGATTACCCAAGTGTGAGAAAGGAGGGGAATGAGACAGTGTAACGCATTGGGGGGAAAGGCATTACTGAGATGACGGTAAATGGAACAGCTTGAGGCAGAGGACTCAGAAGATGGAGCAACACACAAGGCTGGGAAGAGACTGAGGATGGCTTGTACACCAGCTGAAGTCTGAACTCAGAGACCCGTGGTCTCTAAGGAGGGCACATAAAACCCAGGGAGTCCGGGTATGAAAAGAAAATTCAAATTTCCATTTCTATTCTAAGTATTTAATTTAAAAAGCCCTTATTTTAATGCATTTTATATATGATAAATTAGTCAAATAATAAGATATATAATTCACAAATAAACACATCAGTGGGGCAGGCTGAATGCTGCTCATGGGGCTTATCATCATAAAAGTTTGGAGGCTACCACTCAATACCTAGAGGAAATCACTGGGCTTTTTTTTTTTTAGAAATGGGGTTTCACCATGTTGGCCAGAATGGTCTTGATCTCTTGACCTCGTGATCTGCCCGCCTTGGCCTCCCAAAGTGCTGGGATTACCGTGCCCAGCCAATCCCTGGGCTTTTTATAATTAGGCAGGGAAACTACATTTAGGAAGATTCCATTCGTACTTTGCAAAAGAAAGGCCTGGAGGAAGGAACCGAGACCAAGACAGAAGCAGCAATCAGGAGACCTTCGTAGTTGTCTAGGCGCAAGAAGAAAGGCGAAATAGAAACAGGCAAATCAACAATAGGCACGAGGCACTGCAAAGGGAGAAGAAAGTGGGCTTGGTGACAGGGACAAAAGAGACAAACAGATCTGAGATTTTCAGCCTAGATGCCTGAAGGAATCACAGGGATAGTATTTTTAGAAAAAGGAGGCACTGCAGAGGTCCACCTGGAGACAAAATTTGAGATGACAGGCTTAACAGGCCACATAGGAAACCATTAGGAAGAACAGGGGAGAGAAAAATTAACTTCTGAACGTGATGGAGCCCAGAGGCCCTTTTTTGTCCTGACTACCACACCTTAAAAAACAACAACAACAAAACCCAGTGGCCAAGACAGCAGTGCACGCAGAGCACTGGGGTCCACCTGAGAAGGGGCACAGGCTGAGCTGGACCCCGTCCAGAGCAAGCGCCAGGGCTCCGGCTCAGGCCCTACCTGATCTGGCTTGAGCTCCTCCCGAACCACCTGGATGGCATCCCGACACTCGCTGAGCATGGATTCAAACAGGCGCTCTTTGGTTTCTTCACTTTCAGCCTAAACAAGGGCAGATCAAAGTAAGAAACTTTCCTTTGAGCAAACCATAGTCATCTAATGTGAGGAAAGCAAAATCACGCTTGGAGTCTGACCACACACTCACTCCACACCAGAGACCATTTTAATTGTTACTATTCTCCACCATATGTTTTCTTACAGCGTTAGTCATTATTCATATGGAAAGGGGAGTTACATTTTTAAAGTAAACATGCTGAAAAAACTGTCTGCATAACTGATCTGAAACTTAGCAAGGCTTTATGTCTCTTCCTAGCGCAGAACTTCCTGTTACTTCCCTCCAGCACTTTGCCCTCTGCCCAGGACCTGGCACTCCTTGAGGGGCCTTACAGGCTGAACTCAGGGCACTCACACTGAAGCATAGCACACCAGAAGTTTCTTTATCTTTTCCTTCTAGAACAAACTGTCAAGCTCTACTGTAGGCCAACAAAATTACCCGTTACAAATGTAACCCAACTCAAAGATGATTTCTTTTAGGTCCAAGCAAATAATGAAAATGACTAATCACCATCCTAGCTAACATGGTGAAACCCTGTCTTTACTAAAAATACAAAAAATTAGCCAGGCATGGTGGCATGTGCCTATAGTCCCAGCTACTTGGGAGGCTGAGGCAGGAGAACTGTTTGAATTCAGGAGGCGGAGGTTGCAGTGAGCCAAGATCATGCCACTGCACTCCAACCTGGGCAACAGTGGGAGACTCTGTCTCAAAAAAAAAAAAAAAGAAAAAAAAGACTAATCAATAACCCACCAAAAAGATAGTTCTCCTAAATATCATACTAACTTCACCACAGACATGCTGCACTCAGATATTCCACATGACTACTCTGAGAACAACTTTTAGGACAGACAAGGTTGACATGCATGAGACAACAGTCTTTGCACAAGTACTAGGCGTCATCCATCTGCTACACTGCTGGGGTAAGTGAAAAAGTGAATCACTAACTGAATACCTGCCAAGCCACATTATCATCCTAAAGAATCCAACTGAGCAGATAGAAATGGACAAAAAACAGAAAGGAGATGAACCTGTGTGACTGGCTGACCCACCGTGAAATGAAAACATCAACATTCTATTATAATATTTGACTTCCCATAGAAATTAGCACTCAATCTGAAAAAAAAAGTCTTAATATTCAACTGACCTCTAAGAAAGTGCAAAGGAAAATTCAGTACTGCCCACTCCTTTAAGAGATGGGTGGGGGGGTGCTTAAAGAAAAATATTTTTTCTTCTTTTAAGAAAGCGTTTCTGGGCCGGGCGCGGTGGCTCAAGCCTGTAATCCCAGCACTTTGGGAGGCCGAGGCGGGCGGATCACAAGGTCAAGAGATCAAGACCATCCTGGTCAACATGGTGAAACCCCGTCTCTACTAAAGCTACAAAAAATTAGTTGGGCATGGTGGCGCGTGCCTGTAATCCCAGCTACTCAGGAGGCTGAGGCAGGAGAATTGCCTGAACCCAGGAGGCGGAGGTTGCGGTGAGCCGAGATCGCGCCATTGCACTCCAGCCTGGGTAACAAGAGCGAAACTCCGTCTCAAAAAAAAAAAAAAAAAAAAAGAAAGCGTTTCTTAAAAGTTCTTAAGAATCTTTTTCTTCTCTTTTCCTAGTCTCCAGTGTGAAAAAAAAATCTTCCTTGTAACTTACCCAATATAAATCAAACATACTTTTCCACTTACAAGTTACTTGACTTTCCTGTTGTTCACTAACTTGGGAACGAACTGGGGCAGAGTCATCCTATAAATGAAGTAAAGCAAACAAGCACAGCACTGACTCCCAAAAACACCAGGGCAGCATTGTCCAACAGACTCTCTGCCATGGGAAATATCCTCTATATGCACTGTCCAATACACATACTGAGCACTCAGAAGTTTTATTAATTTATCTTTTATTATTTTTTTGAGACAGAGTCTCGCTCTGTTGCAGCACAATCTCAGCTCACTGCAACCACTGCCTTCCAGGTTCATGCGATTCTCCCGCCTCAGCCTTCCGAGTAGGCAGCTGGGACTACAGGCACCCGCCACCGTGCCCAGCCAGAAGTTTTATTAATTTAAATTTCAATAACCACATGTTGAGTGGCTACTGCACTGGAGAGCGCAGCACTGGGGCACACACTTTATAAAATATCGTTGGCCAATCCCAGGCTGGCAAGATTCTTCAGAATCACCTCATCAACCTTACTGGCCTAATTTTTCAAAGTACAAATCTGTGGAATAGTGCTGCTGTATAATACTCAGCAATTGGAAGAAGCTACATCAATTTAGAGTACTAAAAACTTGAGTAAGATGTGAATGGCGGGCAGTGGGAAGCGAGGGGAGGGAGAGCATTAGGACAAATACCTAATGCATGCGGACTGAAAACCTAGATGACAGGTTGATAGGTGCAGCAAACCACCATGGCACACATATACCTATGTAACAAACCTGCATGTTTTGCACATGTATCCCAAACTTAAAGTAAAAAAAAAAAAGACGTGATGGACGCAGCACAGCTTCAGAAACACACATGGAGTCAGACGCAGTGGGTCACACCTGTGATCCCAGCACTTTGGGAGGCAGAGGTAGGGGGATTGCTTGAGTTCAGGAGTTCGAGACCAGCCTGGGCAACATGCCAAAACCCCATCTCTACAAAAAATGCAAAAATATTAGCTAGGTGTGGTAGTGCATGCCTGTGGTCCCAGCTATTCAGGAGGCTGAGGTGGGAGGACCACCTGAGCCCAGGAGGTGAAGGCTGCACCAGCCGAGATCACTCTGCCACTGCATTCCAGCCTGGGTAACAGAGTGAGACCCGGTCTCGAAAAAAGAAAAAAAAAAAAAAAAAAAAAGAAAAAAAAAAGAAAAACTAAACCAGAGCCACATTCCCAGCAGAAAGGATGAGCTACAGTGCCCGTTTTAATTGCATGCAATCCAACAAACATGCCACCAACACCCTTCTCAGATAGGTGGGGTTCAGTGGTTGGGGCAATGGGCGTTCAAGAAATCAACAGACTTCGTCTTACCAGTTACACGGGATTTGCCTCTTTTCCTGTAGGTGGGGTACAGTTCAAGTTTAAAACTTACAAGACGATAAAATGCCAAACCTCTTGACTGCCACGTATTACCTCTGCTCCCTTTGACTAAGCCTCTGCATCAAGGTGCTGAAACCAGCAAACATCCCCACTGCTTCCACAAAACTGTTCCCACTGAGCATTTTGCAAACATCTTAAAAAGCAATGAAGGAAAAAGTCTATTTGAAGGGGAGGACTTAAGTCTCTTGTGTTTTTCTTCTGACACCCACGCTGCAATGACTCAGACCACTAATCTCTGAAGGAGAAGCTCTCATCATTCTCCCTGGGCAGGGCCAAATGTCTCCAAACGGGAAGCCCTCAACATATTTTGCTATTTACACTTTTATTCTATAAATCTATATTTGAGGGCGAGACGATTCCTAAAGGGAATAAGAAACTCCTCTCAACAAGCAGAGGCAGGAGTCCTGGCCACCTGTGCACCGACCTTCTCCGCCAGCCACTGGACCAACCAGAATGTGCTCCTAAACACAAGTGGCAAGCTCCCTGCACAAAAATTTGTGGTCTGACCAGACCTTTTTCCAGGTGTGCCTATGACAGGGAGAAATCTTAAGCCCAAAAGTAATATGTTACTGATTAGTCCAAATGAATCAATCGATCCTAGGTCAGTTGTTACAAAACTCGAAACCTTCAGGATGGGCTTTTCTGCAGTTCAGGTTTTCTCATCAGGCTGTTTCAAAGCTGACCAGTGCAGAGGAAACTGAGCTGTGGTGTAGCCTGATGTACAGACCTCCTGCTATTAAAGACCACATTCTCAGATTGTTTTCGCTTGTCTATGGAATGCTGGAAGGTGGCAGTATGACTAAGAGACACACAAGCAAGTCTGACCACATTCCCCACCACACCCCTACTATGGGGACAGGAATCAAACTTTACCCAGCCCATTGAGGTCTAGGAAAAAACACATGGAAAAAGATAAATGGTCTTTCTTCCATGAGAATAAGAATCACCAAGGCTGCAGATATTTAAAATCTGTCCTCCCTGCAGAAAGAGCTATCTAAAAATAATCTCTCAATGCAACTAGTGACAAGTCAGGAGTGATCAAGCATTAAAGAAAACAAAATAGCAATCCCAGCACTTTGGGAGGTCAAGGCAGGTGGATGACCTGCGGCCAGGAGTTTGAGACCAGCCTGGGCAACACAGGAAGATCCCCATCTCTACAAAAACTAAAAAACTAGGCCAGGCGCAGAGGTTCATGCCTATAGTTCTAGCATTTTGGAGGCTGAGGAAGGAGGATGGTTTGGGACCAGCCTGGGCAACACAGTGAAATCCCCCTCTCTACAAAAAATTGGGCCAGGCGCTGTGGCTCACAACTGTAATTCCAGCACTTTGGAGGCTGAGGCAGGAGGACTGGTTGATCCAGGAGTTTGAGACAAGCCTGGGCAACAAGGAGAGATCCTGTTTCTACAAAAAATTTAAAAATTTAGTTTGGCGTGGTGAAATGCGCCTGTAGTCCCAGCTACTTTGGAGGCCGAGGCAGAAGAGTCGCTTGAACCTGGAAGGCCGAGGTTGCAGTGAGCCTAGATTGCACCATTGCCCTCCAGCCTGGGCAACAAGAGCAACACTCAGTCTGAAAAAAAAAAGAAAATTCCAATCCTATAAAAAATAAGATAAAAATAATTTTTTTAAAAAAGAAAGACACTGAAATCAAGTACCCTGTATCTCTAAGTCATAGTTCTGTTTCCAGGACGGAGAACAACAAAATAATAAGAACTGTATTTCTCCAATCTGAATGTGAAAAAGAAAGAAGAGAAATAATTAGAACTGGCCAGGTTGGAAAGGCCCATGTTATAGCCAGCCAAATAATCTAATAGTGGCACCAAGGGGAAACTGGTTCTTCCTGGGACCATCCTCAATTGGCCAAAGGGCATGTTTCCCATTTAAATCCCATGATTCATTCCATAGCTATTTAATCACTGACAGTGCTAC